ATGATCGCTAAGTCCCTAGAAAGTAGTCAGAAATGTGAATTACTGGTCCTACCACAGATCTGTAAGATACCTCAGAGGATGGGGCCAGGCAAGCTTTCCAGGTGATTCTGAAGCACAAACAACTTTTAGCTCTACTGCTCTTACTCTCCTCTCAGTCTTAAGTTTTTCAAGTATATATACATTAGTAGATGCACAAATTTGCTGAGTCATCTTCCTTTATTTACTACTCCACCTGGATCTGTTACTCAGCACGTTTCTCTCAACATTTTCTCTCCCATTTTTGTAAGTGACTGCTTGCCCCTTCCTGTCTTTTCTACCTGTCCTGGTGATTCTCAAGATACCCTACTTAAGAGTTTCCCAAAGTACTACCTGGGAAGAAAGAGGACACCACAAAGAGGAATTCTTGTTTGAACATTTATGATACTTTGTGTGTGTGTGTGTGTGTGAAAATAAGTGTGCTACTTCCATGGAACAGCAATTCACAAACTTGGATGTACACAGGGGAGTTTGGTGTCTCAGGTCTCAGATTCTTGGATTTAGATGCAATATCTAGGGTGGAGCCTGACAATATTCATTCTCACAGTTTCCCTGGGTGGTTTTGAAGGTGATGGACCTTACCCTCTTAAGAAACTTGAAGCAAAAATTGTTAGGGTGGCAGAGGAAACTTACACCATTCCTTTTTGCAAATGCTCACTCACTGAAAATCTACAAGAAAAAAAAGTAACACAGGACCTACTTCTTTCTGTAATACTTTTCATGCCTTTATGATTTAGTTCTTAGGAAACACCTTTATCTATATCAATATATTATGGTGATCTATAGGTCATATATTGCCTGAGAAAGACCATGATAATATCAAGGTGCAAAATATCCTTCTGCTCATAGTTGAGTTTTGCATTCTTTCTTACACACCTTCCTTCTAAAGGTTTTTTGTTTTTTTGCCATTGTCATCTCAACATTTCTATTTGTGAAGAGCTAGAACAAATGGCTATATTTTGGACTTCATAAAGTTGCTCAACCTTAGCATTATTGGAATTTTGACCAGGATAATTCTGAGTTGCCTGTACCCTGTAGGATGTTCAGAAGCATCCTTGGCCTCTACCCACTAGATGTCAGTAGCACCTCCCTCTCCCAAATTTTGACAACTGAAAGTACCACCAGACATTGTGGAATAACTTTGGGGGGGGGGGAAGGTTGCTACCGGTTGACAACCAATGAAGAAGAAACATCAAGAGAACATACAATTCATATAAGTAACTACAGGGAAACTTTTAGTGCATGTGATCAAAATATTTTTGCTATTATGTTGAAAATAGAGCATAGCTTCTAAGAGTGTTCAATAAGAAACACATATTTTGTGTAATCTGAAAAAAAAACTATTTTAGACATACTGTATTTTCATATTGAACAAACTATGAAGCTGTTTTTCTAATATTACAATTGTACTATTACAATTAAGGAAAATGTTGTGGAAAAGAAATGTTACCTCAGCTGATGACTACAATGTAGCAGAACAAAGAGGCAATATGCACCAGTATCATCAAGACTTTCTGATAGTAATATAGCAGGCAATATTTACTGAGAAAACATTTGTGCCAGGCATATTATTGATTCTGAAGATAGAGATGGAAAAACGACTGCTTTCTTCTGTGAGAACTTCCAAATCTCATGGTGGCTCATAAACATATAAATAATTATGACATTGATTGAATAACCATAAAACCAGCAGTACTGAGAAAATTATTATAGAAATTTCTACTGTTGACTTGTAATAAATTCTGTGTGAGCAGTGCGGTTCACATCTAGGTAAGGCTTCTTAGTCAACCTGGTGCAGATAGGCAATTAATGTAGGTCAGATGAAACTTTTTTTTTTGTCACAAATTACCATTAGTTTATTGGGTGTTTCAAGTTAAAGCAGTAGAACTACTTTGCTAAAGTAATCAGGATAAGCAGGTTCAATTATTATTTCCCTCTACTTTAGATTTCAGTGTTATGGCTTAATGAATTAAATAAGTGAATGTCAACTTAGGAGATTTGTAGTATTAAAATATATTGAGGATAAATTCTGTACCAAGGTTTTAAAGGAAAGTCCTTTTCTTTACAGACATCCTTCTTTCCCACTGGTTTGGTGAGAGACCTTTTTTCCTGTTTCTTCAGTGACATAAGGACTCCAAGCTGTTACCTGCCTTTGGATTAGCAAAGTGTTTAATTAATGACAGTGAAGTATTAAAACTTCACATATAAATAGCCTCAGCCCCCACCTTACCCCCCCTTTGTCAAGTTGGAAATAAATTTGATTCACTGAAACCATGACATTGGATAGGAAGTCAGACTAAACACATCATTATGCTATAAATTTATTCATTTCTCTGAACTTGCTAACCTGAAAAAAAAAATGGAGAGTGAATCAAAGAAATGGGTTGGGGATAATGTATTGCTGGCAGTGAGAGTATGACAGTTATATGTGTTCCTCACTTATTTCTGGTTCACGGCTACCTACCATGTATCACATTGGACAGCATCTCTTAGCTGAATGGGTGTCATGACTTTTTTCAGCCAGTGAGTTGTAAACACACACGATACTGTCTGGAGTACCCAATCAACTACTTGAAAGGCTCCTATGCTCTTATGCCATACTCATCCTGATGTGTTTGGCTTCTCCATCTACTGAGTGACTGAGCAGACAACCTCTGCTGAACCACGATGGACATGTCTTATTTTTGTGTTGTCAGAGTGATGAACTTCAATAAAGTATGAGGTAGTATTTTAGGTTTTGCATACCACAGTCACAACTAAACTCTGCTGTAACACTAAAGTGGCACAGAAAATATGATGGATGGGATGGTGTCCCAATGAGATTTTACAAAAACAGATGAAGGGCCACTTGACCTTAGGACTGTATTTTGCAGCTATGTTTTAAGTCACAAAATGAGCCAGTCCTGAGAATCTAGGGGCTGTGAGATACCACACCCTCCAAAGGAGAATCTTCATCTGTGTTGTCATTCTGTTCCCTCTCAACAATCTTTAAGAAAAGCCTAATTTGGTGACTTTTCAGTTATGCTGAAGCAGTTATGCTTCAATAGTTGCTACTAGGTTATTTGCCAAGGAAAAGCAGAAGAGGGTCTTGCCTTCCTATACCTTATCACAAGCCCCCTCCAGGTCACAGCCAAATCATGAGAGGTCTCCAAGCCATTGTTCTCAGACCTTAATATGCTATCAGCAGGACTCAGTGGGTTTGCTCAGATTGTTGGATTCCACACCTGGAGTTTGATTTTGGTCAGTTTTGCTTACTAGTGTAATTCATGGATCATTTTAGAAATGTGGTCAAGTTTTGAATAAATGACTCCCCCCCCACACTTTAATGTGCATACAAATCAACTAAGAATCTTTGAAAATTGAGTAAATTTAGTAATTCCTACATGGAGCCTGAGACGTTCATGATTGTGGTACCTTGGCCACTACTGTCTCTGAGCTGCATTTCAGCAATTTCAGGAGCCTACTTGGGTTTGCAGCTTCTGTTCCACCCTGCCTCTCACTTCCAATATGTATTTCCCATTTTTGTCAATAGAGCTGCAAGATTTAAAACTCTGGTTGTTCATGTCCTCTCAGCTCAAAAAAGATGCATGGATGTCCCCATTTCACTCAGCAGAAGTCATCAGGCTTGTTAAGGCTGATCATCTTCTCTGCCTCTGTTTTAGCCACTGCGACCTCCTTGCTGTTCCTTGAGCCCACCACACACACTCCCACCTCAGATCCTGGCACTTGATGTTCTCAATACCTGGAAAAATTCTTCCTCCAAGATAACTGCTTGACCTTCTTCCTCATTTCTTTCAGACATCTAAAATGTAAGGCTTTTCCTGACAATCCTGTTTTTTTCTCTACTATTTCACTAGTATTTGTCTTTTTCCCACATAGGATGTAAACCGCATGAAGATAAAACACTCTGGTCTCGTTCACCACCCCCAGCACTGGTTTTTCTAACCCTAAGGTGCTCAATAAATAACTGAATGAATAGATAACATACTTTGCAGCTAACAGGAATGTCTTGAGACAGAAGGCTGCTGTTGTTTCTTCAGGCTCCCTCAGGGTGTCCCGTTGCCAGCATTACTCATTTTATTCCCCAGCGAACAGTGGATTTGGTAGAATCCTTTTCTAAATCCCTCTACTCATGGAGTTTAAATGAATTGGTCATTGACCCGTATCATATATTACGTTGCTGAATTTTCTATTGAGTGTATTCCTCAATACATTTCCTTCCATTACTTTGTTTCTTATTTTCTGTTCCCTGTCCACACCCACAACCACCCTGCTCCAAGGTTAATTACGAAGCTGGAAAATTTCCTTGGAGCAAAAAGAAAAATTTGGTTTTACATGTCATCAAACATTCTCTTAAAAAGTTTTATATAAATCTAAAATAAAGGAAAACAAGTATTACTTGTTAGTATTTCAGGCCCACTGGATAATGCCATCTTGAGGTAGCTTACGATTATTTTTAACACGAGTCCGGAGTTTGAAGACTTTTTAAAGCCACCACCCATCTTGCTCATTTCCTAAGCATTCTACAGACTTCCTAGGTTACTGGGTGATTGTTTTGTGGGGTAGGTGGCCAGCTGCCTTTTCCACTGTTGGGGTGTGGGAGTTTGCTTGCTCTGCATACAGAAGAAATTCTAGAAGCTGGGGTTGCACCACCCACCCCACACACTCCTCACTTGCAGAAACCTTTGCCCTCCCCCCGCCACCCCCCCCAAATAAGGGTTTTTCACCGGGCAGTTGCCAGATTCAGATTCAGCTGCTTGACACCTATTGTCCCCGTTTGGACGTCAAGCGATTTTGCCTGAAGGACCCTAGCGTGGACAACACCCTAAACCGGAGGGGCCCCTCCTGCAGCCTTCGCGGGGCGCTTCTGACCACCGCCGAGCGGCCGCCCCACCCCGGCCCGGGGCTTGGGCAGCGTGGGTCGGAGCCAGGCCGGCCCTGCTCTGCAGGCGTTCGCGCCGGGCAGCCCGAGCGGCCGCGAAGGCCCCCGCCCGCTACTTCTCCGCCCCAGAGGGCTGGCTGCCTAAGTCCCTCCCGCTCCAGGCTCTCCGCCTCACTAGCAGCGGCTCGCGGTGCAGCGGGGACTGGGCGAAGCGGCCTGCGCCCACGGAGCGCACGACACTGCCCGGAACGCACCGCCACCCTTGCCCCTCAGCCGCCCACTCGGGATCTTCGGCAGCCTCTGCGCGCGCACGGTGAGCGCCACGCCGGACCGAGGCGCTGAAGGGGAAGAGGGCCGCTGCCCCGAGTGTCCTTTACCTCCGGATCGCCTGGACCTTCGCGAGGGGCTTGTTCCTCTAGTCTCCCCTCCCCCCGGGTCATTTCCAGTGCCCTTCTCCACCCTTCTCTGCCTCTCAGCCCGATCTCTCTTCCCTCCCTTCCTCGGAAGGAGATGAGTGCCGGCT